TCCTAGGGGTGGCTGGTGGGGGTACATCGGGTGGCTCGTAAAATGCGAACAGATGAATTAAAGTAGCGCTCGGCCATGGGGCCACAGATAGGTGCAGATGTTTTGTGGTGCTGTGCATGCAAATGGTGGAGCAGCACAGTGAAAAATAATGTGTGCAGTGGGATACCATCTGATGGTATAATATGCTACTAATATTTAATAAAATGGCCAAGAAATTAATATTTTACTGTAGGCAGACATAAGTACTTTGAATTTATGGTATATTCCTAATGGACTTTCTTCTATTAAATCATCTTAATCGTAATACAGTTGACCTTTGACATTGCAGTGGGGTGCCTAAGCACGATTATCTTGGTATTTGGATTTCCATTTATTTCTCAGTGTCCAAGCAGCTGGCAAAAAACGTAGCATACTCCCGGGGGCACAGTGTGTCTGCTTGGGTTAGCGTCTGTGTGTGCTCCTTTCTTTTCGGGTCCTTCAGTGTGTGGTTTGAAGCGCACTTTGCAACTCAATAAGTTGTAATTTTCCTGGTGTTTTATGCGCCAGAACGGCGCAACGAACCCAACAAGGCAGCCAGCGAATGACATCTAGTACGCGCGAATGCGCAACGGAAATTGAAGATGAAAGCCAAGCAGATAGCAGACACAAAACACTAAACATTGAACACCTTGAAGGATGCGCTGCGTCCCCCTTCAAATCCATCGAGTGCAGATTGCTCGTTAGCTCGGAAAATCGAAAAATTGTGCAAGCCAGGCATAATTGAAACGCGATCTTGAGGAGTTGCCAATCAAATATCCCTAGCTGGCAAACTGTCCAGACAATTAGTCCACTTTATGTGTCGTACATGGCCCAAACGAGCAATGCCCCAAACATACCAGTTAGCAGCTTTAATGGCGCCCATAAAAGATGCATTGCACTCTCGGTGGAATCTCGTTTATTTGCATTTCAAGACACTAGTAACGACCGCACGTGGATGGCCAAAAAAACCAATGGATGGCCACCAACTAGCACACGTTGGCTACAAACGAAACAATTCAGTTAGCTCAGTCACATAAAAAAACGCTCGAGCCGAAAACGTGGGGAAACGCAGTCAGGAACGCGCGCGTTGTTCTCGCGCCAACAGCAATCCAGGCACTGGCCAAAAACGGCAGCAGCAACAGCTCCACAGGCCATAAAAGCACCAGAAGGTCCTGGGCGGCCAGATTGGGCTCACTCACACACTCTCAGCCAGCGACAGGGCTGTGCTGCGCGGCTACACTGGAAAAGGCCTCCTATTGTTATGGTAAAATGATTACAAAAGGGTGAAATGAAATTCATCTTCTTTTATTTATCGAACTCCATTTCCGCTGACTTATTAAGTAAGAGCACAGCGATTTGAGAAGTTATTATTAAAAAAAGAAAATAATTCAAAGCCCTTACTAAACGCCTAACGCCTTTTTAATGTACTATATCCGTTTCATTAGCAAAATCGAGTAATAGTTTTTTACCGTGGATTCCTCCGCTCCATTGACTCGAATTCCACAACAACAACAGCTTTCAGGTGGAGCATTCGCTGTGGGGAAAGCAACAACAACTTTGTCCGGGGACTGCGAAGGGTGAGAGCGGAATCTTAACTGTTGCTCCGCTGCGAGAGAAGGGAGAGAGCACTTCCACTTCCACTTCCACATCCACTACCAGTGTTGCCGTGCTGCATCCGCTCTTCCGCTCTCTCTCGCGCGGAACTGTTGCTCCTCAGCTTTACGCACAAAGCTTTTTCGTGGCACAGTTTTCGGGCTGAAAGGAGCGCGAAGCTTTTGCGTGGGCGTTTGTTTATATTTTCCTCCTGACCGAGCATGTGTTTTGGCTCACACACATTACCGTACACACACATGCACACACAAGCTCGCAACGCTTTGTGGGCCCAACACACTCACACATTAAATTCTCCGTGTGGCGGCACTTGAAGCCGAGTTATTCTCTTTTTTTTCTTCCTTATTTCATTTTTTTTTGTTTGGGCGTCTGAAAAATTACGTTGCTTGACCTTAGGAGCGTCTATTTACGACTGTGTGTGTGTGTGTGTGTGTGTGTGTGTGTGTGTGTGTGCGAGTGTCTTTTGTTATTCTAGGCCACAACGAATGAGTTAATTTCACGTTGGGCCCCGAAATTGTTGCCCATTTTTCACGTCCCTTTGTTGCACAAAAGCAAGGCAGAAAAGAGTCGTAAAAAATATCCCGGCATAGTTGTCACGAAAAATCTTTACAGAGATTGCTTGAAACCATTTGTTGCCGATGCAGTTCAAGTGCCAAAAGAAATCCCGAATTAAAGAGATTATTTTCTGCGTTCCCATCATTTATAGTCCGACTGATTAGCCGTTTTCATAAGCCCAAATTTGCATATTTTTCGGAGAAGGGAAAGCAAAACAAAGAAGACAAATGCGAATCAAAACAAAGAATAAAAACAAAAAACAATTAATTAGATGGATCCCCCTTGAATTGTGACACCAAATTCAGTTAAACTTGCAGCAAACATAATAAATTCAACAAAGAGACAAATTTATTTGGCGGCCAGCAATTGTTGAAAATTAAACGAATCCTTCGGGAGCCTGATGGACATTTTGTCATCGTCCAACGCGGCCGTTAAAGCGCTGCAAAATGCCAAACAAATTAAATTGTAATTAATCATTAGCTCCCACAACCTCCGCCGCCTTCGCCCAGCACGTGCTGAACGACCTATGACAACGTGGCACGGCAGTAAAATGTCCGCCAATTAATTACAAAACGCATGAGGGGCCAGATAAGAGCGACAGCCATTAAGGAAAGCGCCATCCAGCGGAGACAAACAAAAGGAGCTCTGTGAAAACATGAATTGGGGCACAAGGGCAATTAACACGACGCGGTGTGTAACTTTCGCATCTGTGCTGGTGTGTGAATTAATTGATTTTTTTCACAGCCTCTTCTGGTTAAAAAAGAGGAGTGTAAGTGGCGGTACAATTTTAAATTATGTTTGCGCAGATTTCGAGTTGCTTTAACGACTTTCATATGTATGTCGACTCTTTAAATTAAAACAGTTTTCCAACTGGAAATATATTTTTCCTCTCGAATGCCAATTTACTCCAAATGATTCCGCCCAATTTCCGTGTATTTATGTCTAAATAAGTTCCCAATTTCAGCTAAATATTTTGAAAGCTCATTACGTGCACACACGTCAAGGGGAACCCCCTTCTTTTGGCCGAAATTGATTCCTTGGCGTTCGCCGTCAGCTTTGGGAAACATTCTGTGTAATTGTCATGCTCGTTAGCGACATCTGACCCAATTACTAGGAACTGCGTACTTCCATTGGCTTTTCACAATTTTCGCCCTAATTGAATTGTTTAGTTTTGTCTATTTGTTCGCTTTCACTTTTATGAGGCGGGGTTGTGAGGGTGGATCCCTAATTGATATAAATTAGAAATGTGCAGATATTAATAGGTTCAGTTCTTACTCCTAAAGGATTCTTAAAGAATAAGGAACATATCATAAATATTTTAGTCCTACAATCAATTTATAAAATCAAGATTTGGTTATGAAGTTGGATTAGAAATTCCCGAATTGGCCCTGCCTTTAGAACTTATGCATTTTGCAGCTCACCAAACAAGCCAGATTCGGAATTGGCTTATTTCAGTATGTAATACACATCCCACGCGAACCGACAGACAAACAAACGAGCAAACCCACAAAACAATGAAAACAAGCAAGGAGATCATTTTCTGGCACTTGCGTACTCACTTCGTGCACTGCAAAAAAAATCTGCCCGGTATTTAAATATAAATGAGAACTTAGTAGTTCCAATAGCAAAAGCATTTCATATCTGAACTCAATGGCGAAAATCAATAGTAAACAAACCCATCTCGAGCTACTTTTTTAAAATTTTTGTTCTATATTGTTTGTTACATATTTCATAATGCTCAATCATTTTATTTCTGCGAGTGTATGACTGCTGGCAAAATTTAACTGTAATCGTAATGTGGCGACACTGGGGGTGTTGCGTTTTGGCCGCCAACCGCCTTTGGATTTCCCAGGCCAGCAACAAATGTGGCGGCGGATGCTGTCGGCATTTGAATTTTCGGGGCCCAAAGTGCGCAGAATAGTGGGGGGCTTGGGGTTTGGTGGAACAAATAAGGGGGGTGTGTGAGGGAGATGGATACACGTTCGTGCGTTTTGTTACTTGTTGTACACTCCCGACACCATTATTTCTTTCATTTACTCGATTTTCGTGCATTTCATCCTTTATTGTTGTTTGCTCGAGTGCCGTTATCATTTGTCGGTTTATTTTGCGCCATATGTGGCCTGGGATAACTCTCCTCAATTTCCTCCATCGCCAGCTTTTTCAGCTCTCCCTGCTTTCACTCCTTTTCCCTTTCATTCCGATTGAGGAGTGGGCGCAGTTTATGCGCGCTGCTTCAGTGGGAGCCCCCAGGCAAGGTAAGCCTCCCAGGCTCCCCATGGATGGAAAAAATAACTACGCTAACGTACGGCTGCACTCTTGAAAATTGTTCAAAATTTGAAGAAATGCATTGGTGATAACATTTTAAGGAATTAATAATGTTTTTGTTCTAGTCCAATATAGTATATTGAAACTAATGCCAAAAGGTAATTAACTTAAGAAACCTAACTTGTTGTTTAAAAATCGTAACTTAAACATTGAAGATAAATCACGACTTTGTCAAACCAATCGAGAATTCTTGCAGTGTACATAAAGGCTCATCTGTGCAATTTGGAATTGTGTGGGTTTTTATAATAACTTAAGCGTGTGTGAGCATTTGACCTTTAGCCGGCGTTCCTTCTGTGGGTTGGGTAAGGCTTTTGATTAACTTTTAGCCACCTGAGAAACCAAGCCCGGAAATAAAAGGAAATCGCATAAATATATTATTTAAACTGAATTTGGCGGGTAGCCTCGGCGTTGCCATATCACATTCCAAATAGGGCTGCAACAGTTTAGGTCAGCTGTTTTTTGTTTACATCGCGTTCCCCTTTTGTTTTTTTTTTCTTGCGCCGGTGAAAACGCACGTTTTTCCCATTTTCACCGACATAAACAAAAGCTATTTTTACACGATCGGCCAAATCGGAGAAGCAGCGTAAGTGCTTCAGCAGAATTCTTTGTTTTCCGAATTCGAATGCGTGCAGTGGGTCTGTGTTCATGTGGATGTTGGCCAAAAACAAGACGGCGGCCAATTAAAGCAGCAGCAGAAGACGAAGCACACGATTTATTGGGCAATTGTGGCCAAGAATCCCAAAGGGGCCACTTCGCGCTTGTAAACAAACGGGTAAGTCAGATAGAAAGCTATTTGTGCCAGGAACAGTTCACACATATCTCGTATCTTGCACATCTTCTAGATAATTGAATGTATAGCAACCCCAGTGGGATTACCACTTAGAAGGACCACATTATCCAACCATCATGATTTATACCATCATTTGTAAGTGGTTGCCCACAGATCGGCGCGTGTGTTATTTAAATTAGATGATCGGATTATCCCGAAACACGGAAACACTTATGTAGATAAGCCAATTGCCAAGAATTCGAGTGATAAGTTGTGTCAACAATTGGGGTACACACCCAACCGGATCTGATTAACTTGTTTCAGTAGGTGAGCAAATAGACTAGACCCGGAACAGGACTCGCTGCCTAGTACTGACAATTTAATTAATGCTTACACGTTTTCAGATGCGGCCACAATTAATTTGCACAACAATGGACTGATGCAAACAGTTGTTAGCCGATGTCTGCCAAAAAAACAATAAATACAGCAAAAGGAAGGGCAGCCTCAGCTAGAACAACAGTCGCCAGAGCAGCAGCAACAATTGCAAGAACTGCGGCAAATATTGCAAGTGCAACACCAACAACTGCAACAATTGCCAGAGGAACAGCAGCGACAGCAACAACAGCAGCATGCCACTGTGCCAGCCCGGCCATATCAACATTTCGGCTAGAATTCAGCAATTTGCCAGTGCGCCTATCGCTGCGTATACGTAATATTAAAAATAGGCTAACGCCCAGGCTGCAGGATGAACAAGCGCAGCGTCATCATCGCGGGAATCGTGGCTAGCCTCTTGGTCTTGGCGCTCGGTGCCAACTTCTACTTCATGTACTACCTGAGCGCCGAGGAAGGTCACCTGGCCAGCGTTCGGGCGCTGGAGAACATGATCCGGCACAAGATGCGCCACCTGAAACCCAACTACCTCAATCGCAATCCGCGCTTCTTTATGTTCCGCAACAAGCTGCTCAAGAACTACAAGGCGGCGACGTACGAAAACGCCAGTGTCCTCTGGGACATTGCGAACTGGGTAGGTCAATGGGCCCAGTGGATCTGCCAGAATTACCTTGTTTGCTATGCGGTGGTAGCGATTTATGTTTGGCTGCTTATGCAAACGAAAGAAGGAAATGATTTTTAATTCTATACTATAATACGTAGCTAAGTATATTCACTAACAATTCGGTACTTTTCAGTGGCCACATGAAAACGAGGTCTATCCCTTATACGACTCATCGATGGGGCAGCTTTTAGAAACACTGCGCCGCGAACCGATCACCCGGGTGAGCAACCTGGGTAAGGGCACGCAACTGAAGCTCCTGGTCCGCCTTTCCCAGCAGCAAAAGGTCATCTTTAAGCCGCAATGGTATCCGCGGGACGAGGTCATCGATGGCATGGTGTACAGTGGCAAGGATCGCCACACTGCGGAAGTATATGCCTTCTATCTGGGCGCCGTGCTCGACTTTCGATGGACACCCATCGTTGCAGGTCGAGTGGTGAACTTGAAGCGAGAGATATATGCCAAAGGCGATCCAGAGCTTCAGCAAACCATAAACATCGAAACGGACGAGGATGGCAAGGAGAAGTATTGCCTGTTCGGGAAGTGTCACTACTGTAACGAGGAGGAGGCCGTTTGTGGCGACGAAAAGCACAACATTGAAGGTGTGCTAATCTATATTGTTCCGGGAACGTTGGCAAAGCGGCGATCGCCTTGGCAGCGCACTTATAAGGATGACAAGCGGGCGCCGTGGGAGGACGATATGACCTACTGCAAGTAAGTTCCACACTACAGTACAAACTTCGAGTTCAAAAATGCTACTTTTCAGGGCGTTGAAAAATAAAATGGAGACCATTCGTCTGCTGGACCTTATAGATGCGGCTATTTTCGATTACCTAATCCAAAATGGGGATCGGCATCACTATGAGACGCGAGAAGAGCGCGTGGTGCTAATAGACAATGGAAAAGCCTTTGGAAACCCGAACAAGGATCACTTGGACATCCTTGCGCCACTCTACCAATGCTGCCTGTAAGACTCCGCCCGAATTAAACACCTATAACTATTCACATACATACCTTTCAGTCTGCGAAAGTCCACGTGGGATCGCCTGCAAGTCTTTTCCGGTGGCGTACTCACGGAAATCATCGATAGGCTTTCGAAGCAGGATGCCCTCTATCCCCTCATTACGGATAAGCATAAAAAAGGAGTGGAGCGACGACTTCTGGTGGTCTATGCTGTTGTGGAGTACTGCATGGACATCGAGGGCGACAAAATGTTCAAAACTCTGTAGTTCAAGATTGAGATTGTGGCTAATAGCCAACACTAGAGCTTCCGGGACTCACTTTCCACATCCTACTTAAGCTAAAGTTAGATAGAGGAATTATCTTATTATCTTAGTCCATGTTTTCCTTCGACGACTGTATTTCTCCCAAAGTTTAAATATTTAAATGCCGGAAACAGTTTCTCTTTCGCCGTTTTTTGTATTGGACGTACTGAATTCTAGATTTCAAAAAAATTGCGATGCCATCCATTTAAAAATTTTAGTCAAGCAAGTCCTAATCTTACAAAATTAGCTTTAACGAATTAAATGCATATACAATAATTTTTAAAATTGAAACTCGGACAAAGCTATTACCATGATATTTCCCACAACTACCAATTATTATTTGGTTTTCCAATTGTTTTCAAAAAATATCCCTTACATTACGAGTATTCCTAAAAATGTAACAACAAACCGATCCTTAACAACATATCCGATAGTCTAGTTTAATTAATAGTTACGGTTGTTATTTAATAGGTAATATTTTAGAAAATTGCCAAACTTAAAAATGATAGTTTTGTAACTCAAATGAGAATGTGTAAACAATCAAAAATAAACTCTTGTCTAATTCACTTCTCGTGCTGCATGCATATTTTCTATCAGATCCACATATATAGCAGTTATATATATTTTACAGACTTCGTCACGATTGCAGTTTATTTTTTGCCTTCTTTCCTTACATTACTAAATGTAAAAAGCTTGTTGAACTGCTTATTGTTGCGATTGTTGGGACGGTTCTAAAACAAATCATAGTTATTAGTGCGCGAAATAGAGATTAAATAAAAACAAGAAGTTTTTAAATACACTTTGAAGTAAAAAAAAAAGAACTCACCTTGCCGCGAATTTGCTGTTTGATTTCTGTGCCCCGTGCTCTTTGCGCTCCTCCCTTGAATTGTCGAAAGTCCACGTTCTTGTAGTCAAAGTTCCCTTCACCCCTGTGCTGCGGAACCTGTTGACTGGAGCTCTGCGGGTGATTTCCTCGATTTTTGGCCTTGAATCCACGCTGGAACTGATTTTTCTTCTTCTGCCACTTAGTCTGTGCTGGCGATGGTTTTGGCCGCTCCGTGGTTTGCCTTTCTATAGGAACTTCTACGACCTCGTCATCGCTTTCGCCCGTAGCCTGTTGAACTTCTTCGACTGGTTCGATCTTCACTGGCGGTTTAGGTTGTGTGTTCTCATCCTTGCGAAGTCTCTTGCTGGTAGTCGGCTGCTGATCCGCATCTGTTTTGCCGTTTGTTAGTGGGTGCTTGCGCTTCAGCTGTTCCTTCAGCGGCACGGAGTAAACGACATCGTCCTCCTTCTTGCTGACATGCGCCTCCAGCTTGATGTTTTGCTCCACAGTTGGGGCCGCTAGACACAATTGCCTCTTTTGCAATTCACTTCGCTCCCTGGCCAACTGATCAGCCTTTAGTTGCACCATCAGCGGAAGGATGGCGAGGTACCGTTTGTAGGGCATACGCAAAGTCTGGCTCTCCTTGCGAAGATGGGCCCAACGCTGCTCCTCTTCTTGGGTCGGCTTGGACTGCTTTTGGAACAGAGCCATTGCTGGTGCTGCTATGGGCAGGCTTTCGTCGGCAACCTCCTTCTCTCTGGGCATCTCCAGTTTTCCTGAAGTAGAACTACGTTTTAACAGCGTTGGCAGGTCGTCGCGGATCTCCTCCAGATGCGAAAAATCGTGCGGACAGTAGAGCTTGCTGCTAAAGTCTTTGGTCGAGGGAGGCAACGATACCTGTGTACTGCTTTGGGCTTCCAGGATCGGCTGAAATAGTAAGTAAAAAACAACCCCAATATGGTCGAGGGTTAGCAATGAAAATTAACTAGTAAGTCCCTTAAAAACTTTTTCAGTTGGCCTGCGGACATTAAATGAATATGACTGAGGGATGAGGTGAAGGGAAAACATTCTTCATTTCAATTTTAGTTACAATTAATTGGTAATGAAAAATTTTCGGGATAGTTGCCAATGTTGATCGTGTTGCAGGCGCTGCTTGAAAGCGCCAAGAAACTCACTTTGACCAGCGGCTGATCGCGCGCCTTGAGGACAATCTGGTGAAGCGTGTGCAGCTGTTGGCGCACCAGCGGCGGAATGGGATTGCAACAGGCGAGGATTCCCTGCATCTCCCTTGGTAAACTCTCTGCGATTTGCAGCATCATGTGGTTGGGCAGCACATAGCCGTAACTCTCGTCCTCCAACCGCGCCGTCGCATCGCGCCACTCGAAGATTCCGCGGAGGGCATACAGTTGGCGGTTGTCGAAAGAGCGTTTCGTTTTTCGAACTAAATCCAAATGGGATTCTGGTCCGATATGAGGCTTATTGTACCGCTTCTTACAGACATCCGTGCTCTGTTGGTAGACACTAGCCAGTAATCCTGTGTCCGTCTGCTGCTGCAGCAAATCGTTTGTCATCCGTTCGTAAACATATATCAAAAAGTGGGTATCCTGGCGAGCGTAGTCCACCAGCTGCTGGGGGAGAGGCCTCATCCGCCAATCGGCCAGTTGCAGACTCTTGTCCACATCTAAATCCAGGTAGTACTTCAGCAAATAAGCCAACGATAACCTGGCCAAGTTCAAGGCCTTGGCAGCCCGATGCGTGTCAAACATGTTGACGATATACAACGATAAGTCCCGCTGCAGCCACTCAATGTCCAAATCGGCGCCGTGCAGAATCTTGAGCTTCTTGGGATCGGTGAGTACCAAATTTAGTATATGCATATCTTCGCGTAGGATCAGTGTATCAAAAATATAGTCTTTGCTGCGAGTAGACATTTGAACCAGGCAAGTGATGCCCATGAAGGTGCGGTACGAGTGGTGCTCCACATCTATGGCGATCTGGGGCGCTTGCCTTAGTTCCTCCAGTGCCTGCTGCAGTTTTTCAACCGTGTCAACCACCATTAGCTCGGTGTCTGCCATCAGCGCTGGAAGCACTGGCTTTTGTTTTTGGAGCTGATCCGCCAAAGGCTGAAATTTCAGCAGCTCAAACTCGTAGGGATGCAAATAGGAGTGGATATTGCCTGTATCATCGTATTCGGGCAGAAGGGCCAGCGGTTTAAGAGAGTTAGGTTTCTCCTTGAGCCTTGGAACAAACGGATTCTGGGCACTGTTATCCACCGGCTCCTTAAATTGCGTCTGCGGTCGAACAATGTTTTTGGCGGTAAAGAGACGAGCGGAAACCATGTTGCGTTGGGGAGTTCCTGTCGTTTTGTTCCAGCTGCCCGCCTTAGGAGTCCCTTGGGTTTGTGGAGAAACAACTGCTGGTTCTGTGGAAGTCGAGCCGCTAATCACGTCTACCTGGGCCTCTACGACCTGTTGGGGATTTCGACGCAGACCACTCTTAATGTCCAGGTTGGTCGTAATGCGCTCGAACAGAATGTCGTTGCACTCCTGCACCATCTCAAACTGTTCTTCCACTTGGCGTCTGTTTGAAGAAACAATTTGTATTATTATTTAAAGATGTAGGAACAAACTTTGACGTAAATGGCTAAGATGTATTTTTAACATTTTAACAATTTCAAAGCTTAATCCAAGAACATCGGTAGAACCTTACTTTCTGACGTCGCCCTTGATGTCCTTGGCCTGCAGCACGTTTCCGATGAGCGCCACCACCCGTTGGGACAGGTCGTCCATAACACGTGCGTAGCCTGGATAGCTCAGGTATAGGGCGCGGGCGGCTCCTTGTGGAAAAGCATTAGCGGCTTTCGTGGCGACGATTACATTCTTGAACCCTTGCTGAAAGGTCAGAGCAGAAAGCGTATAGATTGTAACGAAAAATACATTTGTAAATTGGATGGAATCGCTACCCACGTTTGTGAATGCTTCGACGCCTTCTGGAGCAGGTTTTTTTGGCAGCTGATCTGATTGAGTCGACTCTTCCTTGGCCTCCTGGTGAACTCTTTTGGAGGGTCGCGGCATGTCTGTTTAATGTTTCCTTGTTGAATATTTCGTATTTTATTCGTACAAATTTTTTTTGGTTTTACAGATTGTGGAAAATGTGCGTGTTTCTCTTCTTCTTTTTTGAGAATAACAACAGCTTGAATTTGGAGTTTGTCAACACTACCAGCGGCGAAATTTAGCACTATACAGCACTAAAACTGTGCTGACCGCAATCGAATTGAATCGATATGAAGGGTGTATTTTACAAATTGTAGCCAAATTTGGAATAATGATTTTGTAATGTTCAACTGCACACAGAACCTGCTTAGATGATAAACCCTTTACAACAACTTTTTATAAACAAAATAAAATCAGAAACAATGAAATTTTATTAAACCTGGGAATATTTCAGGCCTATAATATTCATACATAAATTCCTTGCCTTGTTTTTCTTAAACAGCTAATGTGAACACTTCACAACACTTCCTTGGGAGCTAAAATTTAAAAATTAATTACTAAATCATTTTTTATTGGATTATTAGTTGTATAGGCTTTACTTTCTGTTTAGTGAGCGAAATACTATTATTTTTTCAACACCGCGCAAAATTGTTCAAGTGAAAAACAAATTATATTTTTCTGCCAGCTGATTGCCGCCAGTGTGTACACCCCTCTGTCGCCGGCGAAAAGCAGAGAGCCCGGCCGAAAAGCAGCAACTCCATCTAGAAGAAACGGAGTTACGTGCTAAAAAAAAGTAATTATAAAGCCTAAGTTTAGTCCCATTAGCAGATAAAACACCCACAAGATGTTGGATCTATACAGACGCACGGTGGCGCGGTTTCCACTGGGCAGTGCCAGCTATATGTTCGCCTACGGATCGGGCGTTAAACAGCAGGAAGGCTATGAAAAAGTGGGCAATGGAAACAACAAGCGGCCTCCGCCGGGAACCGTTGTGGATCTGGTTTTTTGCGTTCGTGATGCACAGGGGTTCCATGCGGAGAACATGCACCGCCATCCGGAACACTATTCCGCCCTTAGGCACCTGGGACCGAACTTTGTTGCCCGATATCAAGAACGTTTGGGTGCAGGCGTCTATTGCAACACTTTGGTGCCACTGCCGGATGTGGGCATTACCATAAAGTACGGCGTGGTGTCACAGGAACAGTTGCTGGAGGATCTGCTAGACTGGCGGCATCTGTACCTGGCTGGCAGGCTACACAAACCCGTTACGAATCTGGTCAATCCTTCTGATAATCCTCCCCTGAAGGCTGCGTTGGACAGGAATCTTTTATCCGCCGTGCAAGTGGCTTTGCTACTTTTACCAGAGAAGTTTACCGCCTACGGGCTTTTCCACACCATCGCAGGACTGAGTTACAAAGGCGATTTCCGTATGATTTTCGGAGAAAACAAACAGAAAGTGCACAACATAGTTAGTCCGCAAATTAATGACTTCTTCGCCCTATACCAGCCCTCCTTGGGTCAACTCTCCGATTATGTGGCGGTCAACATGAAGGGGCAAGAACCAGGGAGCCGGAAACCTGCCATAATCTTCGAGCAAGACAAGTCATCGTCGGCTTCGTCCCAACATCTGCGACAGTTGCCCCGAGAGCTTCAGAAACGACTGCAGCGAAATGCCGCCTGTCGTGGCGACTACACCCAGGTGGTGAACCACCTATCCATGGCTTCCCAGCTTCCGGAGGTGCTGCAG